ACCTTGGCCCACAGCCCACCCCCCCCACCCCCCGAGCTCCTCCAAGCTGCGGGAAGAGCCAGGGACTGGGCCCCTACCTGGGTGACCTTCTCTGTGACATTGTGGGTCCGCTCCTTTATCTTGGGTGCTATGATCTCTCGGTCGCTGGTGGGCGAAGCCAGGAAGGGGTCGCCCTTGAGGTCCACAAAGTTGAGGGTGATTTGGGGGATCTTGCTAATGGTGCGATAGCGCACGAGGTCCGAGTCTGACGTGGAATTAAGCAGGCCGCTGCGCAGGGGGTGCATGGCCCCTGGGGGGGGGAGAGCGGGGTCAGGGCTGCGCAGGGGTGCATGGCCCCTGGGGGGAGAGCGGGGTCAGGGCTGCGCAGGGGTGCATGGCCCCTGGGGGGAGAGCGGGGTCAGGGCTGCGCAGGGGTGCATGGCCCCTGGGGGGAGAGCGGGGTCAGGGCTGCGCAGGGGTGCATGGCCCCTGGGGGGAGAGCGGGGTCAGGGCTGCGCAGGGGTGCATGGCCCCTGGGGGGAGAGCGGGGTCAGGGCTGCGCAGGGGTGCATGGCCCCTGGGGGGAGAGCGGGGTCAGGGCTGCGCAGGGGTGCATGGCCCCTGGGGGGAGAGCGGGGTCAGGGCTGCGCAGGGGTGCATGGCCCCTGGGGGGAGAGCGGGGTCAGGGCTGCGCAGGGGTGCATGGCCCCTGGGGGGAGAGCGGGGTCAGGGCTGCGCAGGGGTGCATGGCCCCTGGGGGGAGAGCGGGGTCAGGGCTGTGCAGGGGTGCATGGCCCCTGGGGGGAGAGCGGGGTCAGGGCTGTGCAGGGGTGCATGGCCCCTGGGGGGAGAGCGGGGTCAGGGCTGCGCAGGGGTGCATGGCCCCTGGGGGGAGAGCAGGGTCAGGGCTGTGCAGGGGTGCATGGCCCCTGGGGGGAGAGCGGGGTCAGGGCTGTGCAGGGGTGCATGGCCCCTGGGGGGAGAGCGGGGTCAGGGCTGTGCAGGGGTGCATGGCCCCTGGGGGGAGAGCGGGGTCAGGGCTGCGCAGGGGTGCATGGCCCCTGGGGGGAGAGCGGGGTCAGGGCTGTGCAGGGGTGCATGGCCCCTGGGGGGAGAGCGGGGTCAGGGCTGCGCAGGGGTGCATGGCCCCTGGGGGGAGAGCGGGGTCAGGGCTGCGCAGGGGTGCATGGCCCCTGGGGGGAGAGCGGGGTCAGGGCTGCGCAGGGGTGCATGGCCCCTGGGGGGAGAGCGGGGTCAGGGCTGCGCAGGGGTGCATGGCCCCTGGGGGGAGAGCGGGGTCAGGGCGGCAGCTGGGGGTGCATGGCCCCTGGGGGGAGAGCGGGGTCAGGGCGGCAGCTGGGGGTGCATGGCCCCTGGGTGGGGGAAGTGGAGTCAGGGTGGCCGGCAGAGGGTGCACAGCCCTTTGGGTGTGGGGAGAGTGGGGTCTGGGTGGCAGGCAGAGGCCGACATGAAACTGAGGTGAAGACCAGGCTTTCAGGAGTCAGGCCACTGGGGTCAGTGTGTCACGGGAGCTGGCTCTGGAGCGGGGTCAGACTCAGTGAGAAACAGGCCTGAGTCCTTCCCACTTGAGGGACATGCCCCCGGAGCAACTAGGAGACCGCAGAGCCTCCCTGAGGTGTCCAGGGCACTGAGACCCAGCCAAGGGGCCAGGTGGGGACAGGGACCCGGGCGCCTGTCCTGCCCTTCAGACTCCCGGGCCGTCCTGCTCCAGGACAGCGTGGGGGAGCCGGCTTCCCGGGCCCGGGAGGCTGAGAGTGCGAGAATGTTAGGGGATGGATGGAGTTTTAATTGAGTAAAAGGCCACTTAGTGGGATTAAATAAGTGCTTAATGGGATTTCCATCTCCCA